TCGCTGTATTCAAGCATTTTGTTCTCTGGTGGTTTTTTTTTTTGAGCTTAACATTATTTAAAAGAAACCTTACAAAGTGTTGGCTATAATTATATCTGTCATTAAATATCTTTGATTTTTCAGCCCTACTGAAATTACTACCATTGTGTATCAGCAAAGTGCTTTAGTGCATCAGCTAATTTATTGACTGCACAGGTTAGTGGGAGCGTCAGTAGAACGACAAGCAGAATAATTCTCATAGCTCTCATTATACTTTCAATCAGAGTTAGCAGAAGTAAATATAATGTAGATTGTTCAATCAGACAAGAGAAGTGTTAATCCAGCATTAGAATTTCTCATTCTCTAATAACAATCAAACAATGTAGGTACCATGGATACATCTTATTATCGCTGTGACAAATACATTTGTTTGCTCCGTTATAATTTACCAAATTGGCAGATGCTAGTGGAGGAAAAAAATTATAGGTTAGGCATACATGCTGTTTATGGCATTGTCCATAGAGATGCTACGTGAAGCAGAATGAAAATGGGATTTTTTTTATTTTTTTTTTAGGGTGAAAATGGCTGATTTAAACTTTTCTCTAAAGCTGCGTTGAGGAAATGTAAACTTCTTCTGAGTTGAGGCTTTGTTTTAAAAAATTTTACTTCTTTGATGTTTTCTTGCTTGAAAAAGAAAAATATTTAAAAAAGGAGTAAATGAAAGCTAGAGCCAAAATATTTTCAAAGAAAAATGTAAAAATTTCACTAGAAGACTTTTGGAAGAAGCATTTTAGAGTTTTCAAAAATAACTTCAATGTGAAATTTGGCAGAACAGACTGTTCTTGAAATTTCACATCACTTGTTATGATGTGAAATCAGCATGTTAATCTTCTGGACACATCTTATTAAAAATTATGGCTGACCAGATATGATTCTATGGGAATATGAAGAGATGGAGATTCTTGACAAAATCATGCCATCCCTAGAGCTGGGAAAAAAAGGGAAATAGCCATTGAGACCAAATGTCTTTATTTGCAATTGTGCAAATAAAATAAACTGTTTGTTGACTTCAGGACCAGAGGGGTGTGTTTGAGATGCACTGGCACAGATCAGAATTGCACCTACTCCGGTGTTGTCCACCCAGTCCCATTCCCCTCCGAGACTTCCATGCCTCTCTAACCCATCTACACCAGATATTTAAAGTAATCCCATATCACTGCTTCCCTCTCACCCACAGCTGTGGTTTGGCACCAAAAAAGACGTATGGGAGATAAAACTTTCAGAGTACGTTCATAGAAATGGTTTAAATCGCAAGAAAAACTCAGTACAGAATGTTCTTGACTGCAGGAGACAGAATCCAACTTGAGCATTGTCAGATTTCTGGAATTCAGAAAGAGGTATTGGATGCTGGAGGTAGTTCAGGGGGAAGAGTGAGCTGTGGGGACTCGTATAAAAGGGAACATTAAAGGAACAAAGTACATCGACTTTGGCTGAGCAGTGGCTACAGAGAAACGTAACAGCACACAAATGTTTGAAGGATCAAAGCACCAAAGAGGCAGTGGAATTTGGAATGCTAAAAAAGGGTTTTTCCAGGAGTAAGGGGTAAAGCTTCAAGCAGCACTTGAGGAAAATCTAGAGAGAGCCCTCAGCTCTGGAATACTGTGGTATGAACAGCTCTGGAGTACCAGACAAGAGACGGCACCAGAGGAACTTTTCACTTTTGTTTTCTGACAAGTTGAATTGTCTGAATGTCACTCATTGCTTAGTTTTGAAAAAAGTGGGGCTGGCACCTCAGTCAGCTTTTTTATTTTATTTTTTTTTAATTTTATTTTATTTTAATTGTGGAGTCTGTACCACCATTAGTTCCAAAGAAAGCTATTTTGGTGGTAAAGAACCAACAGCCTCTCACATGATCCTTTATCCTGTCATAGTTCAGAGCACCACTGAACCCCACAATTGAGGAGGAGCATTAGATATGCAAAAGAGCACCTGCATTAAAGGAGTTGCCTTGAAGATGGAGATGAAAGCAACAACCTGAAGTACCTTCTTAGAAAGGAGACCAGACCAGTAGCTTTTGAGCAGCAGAGATCTTTCCAAGCCTCAGGGAGTTGACCTTAAACCGAGAGCAGCATAATTTGCACTTTTTCCAGTTTCTAAGGAGGGTTTAGTCCCCTTGACATGGTGCTTCTCTTTATTGAGTCATCCATTAGCCAGATACAGAACCAGAGAAAGCCCTGAATGTCCTGCTGGATGTGTTTTTGTTATCAAAACTGTTCATGTGATTTGGATATGATGGGTTTGTGTGTGTGTATGATGGACAGGCCATTCCTTTCAAGAATGGCTCTTTTTAGCAGGTGATTTTCACACACTATATAAGATAAAAAGTTGCATTATTCAATGGTTGAATTAGTAACAATTTGGCAACTGAAGGAGAACAGCAGTTTATTGTGAAAATGCTTCTGTAACCACTAGCAACTCTGATTTGGTGTCAGGCTTAGCTGTTCCTTAAGACTGAAATTACTTGTCCTTGGAGATGCTGAATAATAGCAGGTGTCTCTGAGAGTAAACCATGCCTGTCTATCTTGATATTGTGTTTCTTTTAAAGGTAGAGGCATTCTTTGACATGGTAAATAGTATGCACACAGAAAATGTGCAGCAGGAGAGACAATCTTAGATAAAAATATAAACAGTTTTTGCTTTGAACTTTCAGTCAGTTTTCCAAGATATTGACAGAACAATGGATTAATTAGTGAGGAAGGTTTTATTAAGTATATGCAAACTACCTGAAGTCTCACAGGGAGTCTCATGTGAGAGAGATTAGTGAGAATAGGTGGAATGGGGATTTAAGACAAAAGGCAAATATCCAGTGACACACAGAAGAAAAGTGACTCTGTTGACAGGCGAATTGTGCAAAGTTAAATGTAAAAGGGTTGATTTCTTGCAAAGGAAGCCAGTAAAGTTTTGCCAATAAATTAAATGGTAGCAGAATTTTTTTGCCTTTATAATACAGGGCAATGCTTCTACCCAGAAGACAAACCATCAAATGTAATACCTGGGGGAAGCAGGACTTCAGAAAAATGGAAGTCTCCTCTGTGTGGAATGAAGCCCTGATGGGAGAGTGCCTGGAAAAAACTTGGGCAGGTCAAGGAGTTTTGGCACTGCAGAGTTCTTGAGTTGCCTCTTTTACTTTTATATAGCAAAAAAAACTTGTAAGAAGCAATTGGGCAAGGAGACCAACTTAATGAACTTAATAAAAAATTCTTTGCCACCATAGATCACATAAGATCTCAGGTCCCAATACTGTCTATTGCTATATCTGTTCTTTCTTAATAGAGGTCTCTCACCTCTTAAACTTCTACTGGGAAATATCTTTTTTTTATAAGAATCAACTTTTCAAATCAGAACTTATGATGAAGATTTCTGCTTTTTTTTTTTAAATACCCAACTTCCTCACTGAAAAGTTGAGAATATAATTTGTTAAATAAAAGCTAGATTTTTCTTATTGAAAATTGAATATTTGGCATCATTTGGTTTTGTCTTTTCATCCACAAATGAAAAGACTTTCATTGGAATAGTTAGGGACAAAGCCAAAAGCATTTACAAGCTCTTATGGAAAATGGTATATGTTACTTGGCCAGAAGTCTTATAATGCAATTAAGATAACTTGTTCAGGGAGAGAATTATAAATGCTGATATCTTCATAGTTTTGTTGAATAGCTGTAATATTTTCCTGAGGTTAGTTGTTAAGTTTCAGTTAAATGTTTACCTTTTTTTTTTTTTAAATGAAGCTTTCCCGAAATAGGGAGAGATGTCTTAAATGTGTTATCTTTAAAATTCTATTTATAACACGCATAGAAGTATATTTGTAGTCTTATAAATGCATCTGGAAATAAATATTGTACTGAAAATAGCCAGATTTTGATTTATTTGGGGTACCTAATAATGAAGCAGATGTATCCACACCCTGTTGTGAAAGTATCAGGAATTTATCATCTGCCCTTGCAAAGTAGAGACAAGGGCAAGTTGTGCTGGAGTAAAAATAGGTGTGGACCTTGAACCCATTTGCCCTGACTTATGTAGGTCAGGACACAATCCAGAGGGAGAAACACCTTCCCTGGCAGGTTTGGTGTTTGTGTTGCTGCAGGAGTCGATCAGAAATTCCCCCCGTGCCCGATCAATAACTGTGGCCATTGAAGCAAAAATAGAACAATTAGTAACACTGGTGAGCAACGTGGGAAGCTGAAAGGAGCGGGCTAGTGAGGAATGACACAGATAGATGCCAGCAGTAAAGAGTGGGAAAATAAAGTAGAACATCTGCCCAATTTACCTAATTGTGCAATAAAAGTAAAAGAAATCTTATTTCTCGAAGTAGTGCACGGAAAGTTCATGCACAAAGTGTTCAAAGCATGGCACAGTTTGAGGAAAGGAAAGGTGCTGCTGGAAACTTGGCTGGTGGGTGTTCTTTTGGTGAAGGTCATGACTGAGGGTTTGGATTGGTAGGCTGAACACTGAAACAAAGTCAGAGAGACTTGGTTTCTCTTCCCGGGTCTGCTTCTAGTTTTCCCAGTGTGTGATATTCTTTCACTTCTTGCCTTTTGTCTGCTTTGTGTAAATCTCAAGATCTTTAGGGGAGGGTTTGATTCAGGTGACTGTGACTTCAGTCTTGGCTGGGGCTGGCAAAGGTTCTTGTAATACAAACAGTATCTCATAATTAAAAAATCCAAGATAATGATATGGTAAAACCCTGAAAAATCTGTCCAAATATGAAAATAATATTGGACAAAAAAAAATAAAGATATGTGACAGATTTTTGAGAAGGAAATGAAAGGGTCTTGCTAAAGTACTAAGGGAATGTCCTGTTTGACATTCTTTAACTCCATAATTGGCAGAAGTTTAGATATCTGTCTCATGAGATGATGTAAAAGTACTAGATATGGCCAACTGCAACATGTACCATGAAATTCATAAGAAAACATTAGATTACAAAATTTCCAACACAGACTTTTTTTTTTCTTAGATGTCTCTTGCATGGGAACCCTAAAGGAGAAAAGTATTCTGGCTCAGATAAGAAGCAAGTTTTGAAATACCAACGTGTGTTCTGCAAAATTCTGGAGTGTGACTCAAGTCAGTGGTGATCCAGAACAGCAGGGGTAAGTACTGCATGTTCTGAGGCCAGAATATGTTGCATTCTTTACCACATGAGCCATTAACAAAATATGAATTAAAAAAAGAAGTTTAAGTTATGCAAGAAAATGGGCTTTGGATTCCTATTAAAGATAAAATTAATTTCATATCCAAAACACTGGACAGTGGCCCCCTGGAGAACAATGAAGAGAGTGAAAATCCCATAGACAACGGACGTTGAAAGCTGCATAATAGTCTTATCATTCCTGTACAGCCTTGGTTGAGACAGCTGTAATTAATTATAAGAAAATGACAAATGGTCAAGGCTATGCTGAAGGCAGTGGCCCTGGTACTTGACATTGTAATGCAACTGGGGAAAAGCTTGTCAAATCAAGGGTGTGTTAATTTATTAGGCAGCCGTTCGTGCCAAGTTGAATAAAAGGAAGAAAAAAAAATAGAAGGTGAAAAGTTACTGCAAGTATTAAGTATTTGAGGGGGTTTTCATAATCTGCATACTTTAAGACTTCAGTAATTTTATTCATCTGACTTCTGCCCCAGGTGCTTGTTCACTTGTCACTCACACCTCACAGAGTGGGCCACGGCTGCAAATCCATCCATCATTGTTAGTTGGTTATATCCCGTAGTGTCAGTGGAGTAAAATCTTAGTTTGGCCAAATGTGGGTTCTACTTCAGCAAAATGCAAGTCTTTCACACTCTGCCTAGTTTAGTTCTTGTCAAAGTATATGTTTCAAAATACTTCCTTCGGCTCCTCTGATTTTTCATACCTGTGATTTGCAAAACATGGGCAGAGTCCTGTGGTTGAACTGTTGGCTCAGCACTGGGGGAAGGTGGATTTCAGCCTGGGCTGGGTTCTTGACTTCTTGTGTGTGCTTATGTTCTCTTCTTCCATTCTTGTTTCAACCGTAATTCTTAAAAACAGAACTTTCTCTTAGCCCTTCAAGTCCCAACAAAGCTTTCAATAGGAGTAAACTTATGCCAAAGGTCAGTACTTGCATGTAAACTGAAGTGAGCTGTTTGCTTGCAGCCCACCCTGGCATGCCTTATAGGAGGGAGTTGGGGTTTTTTGTAGATACTAACAAACATGGCAAGAGCCAATGACTGCAGCCAAGTGAATAACATGTGACAAGCATTGTCCAAGAATCCTGGATCCCTCTCTCCTTCCAACATTGATATGCAGCCCTTAGAAAATGTCACTGTGTTGTCAGTCCTTAGAGAGTATCACGATACTGTCCAAATGGCTTTGTGTGGGAAATGGGCCTTTAAAGGCCAGGAAACATTCTAGTCATTCTCCCTGAATATCAGCAGATGGGCATTGAGCACAGATGCTGCTCTAATTACAAGACATTGGGAACTTTGTGTCAACAGTCTAAAACTCCAGTTGTACATAGGTATCATCTGTTATAAAACATAAGGATTCTTAAGAGACCCCAAATCTTCATTAATCTATCCATCTTCGGTGTTTTTCGAAATCAAAAAAAGAAATCCAGTAGGGATAGAACAGATCCTCTATACATGAGATAACATTTCAAATTGTCTTTATTTTTCTCTGAGTGTTGGCTATCTGTTTAAGTAGTGAACTCACACAGTAATGGTATTGCTTTTGCAGCTCTCCAGGTGGTTGTCACCAGCTCATCACTCCTGTTTTCACTACTCATTAAATTATACCAGGAAGAGGTGACTGATCTCACTGTAAAATAACCCCTCCTCAAAAGATTAGTAATTTTTTGCTTGATCAGTTGATTGCTAAGACTTATGTCATTTTGCAGCATGTATCTGATTAGAGACACCTTTGGCTGAATGTTAAGCATTTATCTACTGTGATGCAATTCCAAACAGTGCAGTAAATCTCTCTATATAGATGTCTAATGTATGGTTGGCATTTGAAAACAGTTTGAAGTGGTGAATTGCCAATTAATATATTAGTTTGCTCTGTAGGCCAGAGCTCCAGTGGTCTACTGATGTGCAATTTCTTTCCTCTGCCAGACTTTGTATTCAGTGGATTCATTCTGTTCCACTTAAACATGGCCTGATGTGACCCTTGTCCTCTGGACTGTGCTGGGGGGGTTTATATTCTATATATATGGGAGGGTTTATGTTCTATATATATGTGTGTGTGTGTGTGTGTGTGCTATGGTGCTTGTATATTAAAACTGTATATGGACTGCTCTGGACAAACCTTCTGGCTCTGGAATATACTGATGATGACATTCCAAAGACTGGTGCCACAAGACTGCAGTGGCAGAGCCCCAGCTTGCCAAGAGTTGAGAGATGGACTGGCTGCTGTGCCCCAGCTGATACTGGTCACCCTCTAAATACTGAGCTACACACAGTGACCGATCTGTGATGAGAGCAGGCCATTCACTCACGGGGACACAGGCAAAACAAGGGCATTCTGGACAGGGAGAACAACCCTGGTGGGGGGCAACAGCACTTGCACATCAGTAGTGCAATTAAAGTTGGCCCTGAAGCAACTGGCAAGCTGGGATGAGGCTTATTTTCTTAGTGCGAGTTTCTGACTGAAGATGATGAGTCTGTGTTTTTATTTTTTTGTTGCTGAAACTCAAGACATGAAAATGTGTCTGAAGTCTTTCATTTCCACCTATTGAAAATGCTTTAAAAAGGAAAGAAATAAGCAGATGGCTCTCATTAGCACAAGAGTGCTTTAATCTTTTGCACATTTTAAATTTTATTTTCCTTTCAGTGTTTGTAAGTAAATTGGTATAAAATTAAGACTTCACCAGAGCAATTGAATTTCACACATTTCAGTCCATGAAAGGAGAGGTGGACTCCATCCAAATTGCGACAACTGATGTAATCCTGGCATCACAATTATCTATTATGATCAACAAATGCATTCTAAGTGAATGAAATGCAGCGAGACTGGCCCTTACACATCTCACTCAAGCAAAACTCATTTGAAAGCCCTGTGTACAACTGGGTATCTTGCCTCTGCAATTCAACCAAATAATTTTTATTTTAAGCTGGAAAAATGCAGAACTCATCATTTTGAGGAACACGTGCAAGAAATTGTGGCTAAAATATGCTATTGGTATCAATTGCCAAAGTTGCAGGACATCAGTGGAGCTGAATCATTTTCTCCACAAAATAATCTCCCAGTAGCATCCCAGGGGAGGCACCTGACAAAGATGGTAAAATACCTCCATTCTTCTCACCACTCAGGAGCTGAATGGTGTTAAACTGGTAGGACCCCAGTGCTCCATCCTGAAGAAGCAGAGGTTGCTACAACCTCCAGCTCCAGAACTTTGTGTCTTCAGCTTGTTCTTCTGCAGTTCCCGCTTATTAAATTCTGTTTCAAGCCAGGCTGCATGGCCAGAGCTTGCTGCTGCCACAGCTTTTGACCCTACATCAGTGGAAGGTGTTTAAGTCAAAATACAATTCTTGATTGAAGTAATAAGGGATGGGATATCTAATACCTCACTTCTGAGGTATTAGAAGGTCATGACTTCCCTGGAAGTGTTAGGAGTTGTAATTCTTGTCAGAGTGATCAGTAAGGCTTGTCCAGAGGAGATTCCTCGTAGCACTGAGGCAACAGCCCAGAGTTCTGTTATGAACAATGTATTCCATCACATTGTTTGTGAAAATGGTGCTACTGGTACAGAATTACAAATGCAAACAGAAGGTTTCTGATATCTACCCTGCAAATAGTATTGCATTCTCTAAGGCTTGTTTTGTATGATAGAAATCGAGGTCTGATCCTCTCCTATTTATTTTAGAAAAAAAAAAAAAAAAAGATGAAAACTGGAGAACTGCTAGATTTGCAACATCCTCAAATAGAAGTTGAAGACTCTTGGGGAAAATAAGATTTTAATTCTGTCCCTTTTAAAGCAGAATTGTATATAAAGTGGCTTTTCTACTTCCTAGGAGCTTTCTTAGTTTCTGAAAAAAAAACCAGTTTATTTTTGATGCCACTGTACAGCATTCTGATTAAAAAAAAAAAGCTTAACATTTCAGTTATATTGAGGAATTTTGTTTTGAGCCTAACCTTTTCAAATAGTAGATGTTTTAATAGAAAATGGAATACATCTCATTCTGGAAAGTTATTTTTAAGTGGAAAAAAAAAGAAAGAGCATTCTCACTTGGCTAATATACAATTTTTCATGTTTTCCTATCCAATTGCATTGTTTTGGATGAGGGAAAGTGTTTCAAAAAATAGCGTGTCAAAATCTGAATAAGTTAAAAGGACTTGCTTCTTTCTTGCAAGCTTTGTTTTCCTTGATATTTAAACAGAAATGTTCTGTGTCTGAGTACTTTGCACATACTTCTCTGGACAAACTCAACTGCTTTCCATGGGGTGCTGGGGAGGCCAGAGAGAATTAGATTTTTATTTTATTTTTCACTTTTCTGTATTTCTTAGAGCTGTCAAGGTTTCAATTCAGAATCACTCAGTCATAATTCACACCAGAAGAAATTATCTTGGCCTCCTTTTTGTTACTTTCAGCTTTTAAAGTCAGGTTTAAATGACACTACTGCTGACATTGGTTTTCATGGAAGAGGCTCAAATGTCGTCTTTGACCACATTCTGGGCCTGAAAGCTTTATAGATGTCAAGAGGTCTTTTTTAGACAATGCTTATGGCAGAATAAATTACCCTGCACCCATTGAGAGAAGTGTTTTTCTTTCCTGTTCTTAAGGCTCTGCAAAGGTGAAGAGTCCACACACTCTCCAGCCAATTTGTTATAGTGCTGAAATAACCTCACATTTGAAAGTTCTTCCAGTTCTCTACCCTGGAGCTTCTTTGCTACTTTTTTTTAGCCTTATTGCTTTTGTTTCATCTTTCATAGTGAACACACTGTTGCCCTGTTCTTAATAGCATTTCAACACTGCTTGCAGATTTATTTAACAGGCTCAGAAGAGCAAAGAGAGGAGGAGGAAGACAAATGAGGACTTTAAAAATATGAATTTCAATTGAAATAGTTGATTTTTCCTTTTATTTGAAAAATGTGGATTTTTTTAAAATGGTCTTCCTTTCTTCTTTCTCTGCTCCT